TGGGGCTCTGGGGGGGGTCAGATCCACAGTGAGGGGGTCACCAATCCCACTATCCATTTCTGTGGAGCTGATGGGGGGGTTCCCCCCCAGCCAAGAGCCGGTGCTGGGGCGTCCGTGGGGCAGAGGGGAGTGGGAAAGGGGGGTCCGGGGTGGCCCCCTGAGCTCCCAACCTGCTGGGGGTGGCTGGGGGATGATGGGGGGAACGGGGCACCCCCTGACCCGTGTCCTGCACACACAGGGGTGTTCCAGATGATGGCAAAGGCCAAGTGTCACTTCATCAACGGCACTGAGCGGGTGAGGCTCGTGCACAGGTCCATCTACAACCGGGAGCAGTAAGTGCACTTCGACAGCGACGTGGGGGTCTTTGTGGGGGACACCCCCGAAGGGGAGTTCTGGGCCAGGAAATGGAACAGCGACCCGGAATGAATGGAGGAACAACGATCTGCGGTGGACAGGTACTGCCGGCTAAACTACGAATTGTCTACCCCGTTCACTGTGAACCGCAGAGGTGAGCGTGGGGCAGAGCGGGTCCCCTCGGCCCCTGCCCCGAAAATGACCCTGGAGCCCCTCCAACCCTCCGTGGGAATAACCCCAGACCCCTCAGCCCTTCCACTTCCCGTCCCCGTGGCTTCCTAGTCCATCCCAGTCCATCCCAGTCTCTCCCAGTGCCCCCCCCCACGTCTCCACCCCGCTGGGGCCTCACGCCATTCAGCCAATCCCAGCGCGTCTCTCTGATGACGCTCCAGTTGCCAGGCAGACCCAAACCAAAGAGGTCCCTCACCACGACTCAGACTCCCAGTCCGGATCGCTTCCTTCCCACTCCAGACCAGTCCATTCCCAGTCCTTCCCAGACATTCCCAGGCCCTCTCACTCCATTCCCAGTTGTTCTCACTTCACTTCCACATCTCCCAACTCTCTCCCCAGTGCCCCCCCAGCCCAGCCCCTTCTCCCCCACTCTATTCCCAGTCCCTCCCACTGCCATCCTGGTCCCTCCCAGTTCCCTCCAGCTAAGCCCAGTGTCTCCCCCATCCCTCCCAGTGCCCCCCAGCTCAGCCCAATGTCTCCCCCGTCCCTCCCAGTGCCCCCCAGCTGAGCCCAGTGTCTCCCTCGTCCCTCCCAGTGCCCCCCAGCGTGTCCATCTCACTGGTGCCATCAAACTCCCAGCCCAGCCCCGGCCGCCTGCTCTGCTCCG